ATCAGTCAGTTTATGAGCAGGTGATTATTAAGATCCTGTGTGATGTAAGAATGGTGTACATGAGAGTTGTATCAAATGGTGTGGTAATGTTATGAATAGGAAACAATTGTTACGATGACACTTAGCTGGATGATTTAGCACCCTAGTTATTGGAGTTATGGGATGTTGACAGAGTACAAGTAGTAAGTTTTTAAGTATGAAAAATATATAATTGCTTTGAGTCAGTTATCAGTGGAGTGTCATGCTCTTTTAGCTTTGGGCGAAAAAATTTCAGTCTGTAACTTTTACTCATTTTATTAAATACTTATTTTCTTTTTATTGTTACAGTTGTGTATGTGTTCACATGTTTGAGGGTAGAACGTCACTTCAATGTCAGTTGAGCCATACAGCTATCAATATCTAAAGTGAAAGACTACTTTGTGATATAAGCTGAAATAGTTCTGGTTTGATATAGAGTTCACCATTCAGAAGATTTAGGGGGCACGGGTGGCCCAGTCGTCTGAGGCGCCGCAATTCGCTGTGCAGAGTTGCGTCCCTTGGGCACGCCAGAAACCTATGTTTGTGGGTTCGAATCCCGGTTCGCCCCGATTATGTTTCTAGGTTTGTCAGTACCATGCCCGTGCTCGTGGGTTTCACCGAAGTGGTAAACATCCGAGACCTGCATCACTTCGGGCTTTCCTCCCACATTAAGCTGACACGCCGTGATATAACTGGAATAATGTTAAAAGCGGCGTTAAACCCAACTCACTCACTCATTCAGAAGATTTAACTATACAAAAAGAAAGGAACTGTACCATATCGAACTCGCAGGAATAAAATTTCCAATATCCACTTTCTCTTCACGCCATATCGCCTCATGGCCAACATTTGATGTTAAGTGATGAGGTTCATCTTCATGTCAACTTCTTCCATATTATATTGATGCTCAATGCAAATGCCTATAAGAAGTTCTAAATGTGAATGATTTCAAAAATCACATTTGCAAAATTGTGAAATGATATTTGTAAAGTTGTTACTGTAAACTGAATGCGAGAAATGGCTTATTCAAATACAAAGTTTATGTGAATTTGTGAAACGAAACTTTTATGAATTGGTTTAAACAGTGTTAAAATTTAAAGCGTGTCCTGTGTTTCTGGGGTCGTTAAATTTGCTGCAACATACTACTCAAAATAAGTGAGGGAGCACCTGATTCTTTCATATGGCATGACAGATTACCTATAATAAACTAAATGAATCACTTGTTTTTAGTAGTATGTATCATAATCTAAGGACCCCTACATTTTTAATATTAGGGTAATGACAAGGATCCTTGGTGTTACATGCTTAATCTTAAACAATGGTTAACTCCTAAATCTTTCATTATAAGTCTTCCTATAAAAGCATACTGATAATTAACCATGCTTAATGTACTGTCCCAGACAAACACTCTGTATGAACTCGGTATGCGAGACAAAATCAATTACAGTACCAAATAACAGACAGTAAAAACATACTTGCCAGTATTGACACATTAGTTATAGAATTAATGCAAGCATTTCTGTGTTGATAAATATTTATCACATGTAGTTCAACACAGTATAGGTCATAACAGAGACCATATAATAATAATCTATTATATGCTCTGGTCATAACAAACTGATTATTTGTTTATCATCTTGAAGGGAATGAGTGAATGAATGAATATTGCTTTACAGCACATTAAAATATATTCAATCAATATTATTGTTATTTAAAAAAAACACCATTCACCTCATTAGTCAACTCTTAGAGAAAACTGGGTTAAGCTAATTTGCAGTCTCAGCAGATTTGATTCACGTCGTTGAAACAGCACTTTCCTTTTCAGTTAAGGTTCATGATGTATGTAAATTTAAAAGTCCCTAATAACATAGAGACAATGTCTTCGGTTTACAGTGCAAAAACTTTATGTCGGAGGTCTAGACTGGATATGAACAGCAGACCATACTGCATAGTCGCTCTTTAAAACAAGTATGAGGTACCGATGACCTATCCTCCCCAGAATCCCCATGGCATCAACCTCCACTGAGATGTCTCCCCCTCCCTTCAAAATGACCTGAATCACAAATGGCTGACAAACTAACCAAGCTGTATTCCAACCATCCATATGTCTTTGCAGATGTTGTAATTTACACAGGACACTGGATTTCCTTACAAACACTTACTTTTTTATGCAAATTCTGTGAGTGACGGGTGCTACCGGGAGGGCCGGACATGCTTACTCTTTTTGTGAACACCTGGTGTCATCACTGATTTTGAGTGATCCATTCATATAATTTTCACCACTATTTTGCCTTCTGTGCCTTGTGGAATTTGTTTCGTCGGATAATCGAGACTGATTATTCTCTGATGTTACATTTAATATTTACAGAGAATTAAATCCTAACAAAGCGGCAGATCACAAATCATTTATACAGGTTTCAGATGCAATACGCAATATGTTGCCCTTCATAGAGTTTACTGTGGCAGAGTTTAGGTTTTTTAGATGTCTGCATTTGATCAGTAAACAGAGATCTGTAAAGACTGTAATCTATGTTAGCTGAAATGTCTACATTGGGTTATAACACACAGTATACTACGTTCATAACGAACTGACGGATATAACATACTGATTTTGTCCTTGGCATTTGCTGTCTATATTCTGTATATGTGCTTATAATGAACTAAAATTAGTGGTCCCTTTGAGTTCGTCATAACCGTAGTTTACTGTACTATAAAGTTGTTGAAATTGTTCATGCCTGTATGCAAGCAGTACAAAATTAAATGAATAATGGTAATGTAGTGTGTAGTTTAGCTCAATCTATAGCAGCCAAGATTAATGACTGTAGCTAGTTGAACAATGCCACCAAGTAATGGGGTAATTATCTACTTAGGAACTACTCATGTACGGCCCACTACTTTGTGATTAGTGGTGCAACTATACAATCAGATTTCGAAATCATTTAACAATGTCCTTATTCACATTTTCCTCAAACTAATACATGCGGATCTGACATTTAAAACGGCTTGATGCATAGGGTGCTGTTTATTAATCATGTACAAATCATTTCCAAAGTGTCATATTTGATTTGCTGTTGATAGATTCTAATTAATCTGCATGCCCTTGACATTTACTGGCTGTCTCACACAACAATGATGCTGTCCTTGTTAGAAGCTGAACGGGCCTAATAGGAGTGTTTCGTATGTCTTTATTATCCATAGGGTTAAAAAACCATACAATAATTAGTCACACATGCTGCAGACATGTATCTGCATTAAAGTTTTCACACACCCAACGCACTGTTGACATGTCACATATCTTATGTTTAGCTCATCTGACTGAAAGTCAGGTAAGCTTATGTCATGGACTATTTGACTGTTGTCCATCGTCAGTTGTACGGCGAAACATCTTCTCCTCAGAAACCATTTGACCAATGAAGCTGAAACTTCACACACCTGTTCTTGTTCCTACCGATAGTGACATCCCAATTTGTTCCAGAGGTTCAAATCCATGGCAGCCATATTGAAAAACGCTGTGGTCATTACTCAGCCTTTTTTGTTAAAAATTCATTGAAATTCATGACATGTGTAGTTAGTAGTGGGGGCTCGACAGGTATTGGATTTTTCACGATATTTCAAATGTTGATCTTTATTTGACCTTTGTTCAATGACCATGAATTCAAATTTTCTCAAAATGTATTTCTTTGCACTGTAAATATAAGTTTCTCAGAAGCCACTTGACCAATGAAACTGAATCTAATCTGCCACAGCAGTCATATTGAAAAATCCTATTTGCGACCATTATTGGCAATATTTGTACTAAAGGCAATGTAAGTACTTCTTTAGTTAATTGTGGGAATTACCACATGTTTTTTTGTGTAATTTTTTATCTTTAAATGACAATGCTTTTATCCTCTCAAAATGTATATTTGGCTCTGTAAACTAGCTATTTTGCAGACTGAAGGAGGAGCTGCACTTGTGGCATTTATTAGTCCTCAATATGTTTGCAGAAAGTATTTGAATATCAATGCTGATGGAATCTTATGATAAATGTCTATCTTTGTTGACTGTGTAAAATTACTAACTACATGTCCAGGTGAGCTACAGTGTCGTTGCACTCAATATGTTAAATGTGAGTCAGGAGTCACCTTATGTTTACACTAACTGTTCAAGGCAACTGTATACTTAACTGTCTATGTATGTTATCACATGAAGCATGACTTGTTTGGTAGGACTATGCATATGGTGTGTTTCATCAAGTACCAGTGAAAAAAAGACAAGGGGCTACAAAGCAGTTGTGTTAGTCTGAATGTGCTCAGGCTGTTTGTTGGTAGTGAGGTGGCAGGGGATGAAAATTTAATAATTTACTTATCATGGCCTAAAAAACCTTTATGGGGCAAACATGTCATAATAAGTTCACAGACCAATATGCACCATTGGCATATTCAAAACATTGGCAGTAACAGAACAACTTGAGTTCGTTTGTTTGTTTGTTGTTTAACGCCGCACTCAGCAATATTCCAGCTATATGACGGCGGTCTGTAAATAATCAAGTCTGGACCAGACAATCCAGTGATTGACAGCATGAGCATCGATCCACGCATTTGGGATCGATGACATGTATCAACCAAGTCAGCGAGCCTGACCACCCGATCCCTTTAGTCGACTTTTACAGCAAGTATGGGTTGAGGGCTTCCAAGCTACATTATGAATCCTGGCATACATTGGACCGTTTCCCTTGAATGCCAAATTTAAGCAACATCATGTTTTGCTTTTCACCCAATTCTTTTTACTGGTATTTTACCAGTGAAGATCCGGGGTACAATAGGTCTTCAGCAACCCATGCTTGCCGTAAAAGGCTACTATAGCTGGAATATTGCTTAGTGCGGCGTTAAACAAAAAAAAAATTAAAAGATATCAACTTAAACTGGTTAGAGCCTGTAGTATAAAGAACAACAACATGACTTCCTTATCAACACGTTCACGTTTAGATTTTTCTATTCTAGGTGGACATGCCAGTGTTTTTCTACATCGATCCTGAGTATGCTGAAGATGCCAAATTGGAGACGATAGACACCATCACATTATCCTACACCTTCTTCGAGGCCAAGGAGGGACTGCAGCTTCCCCTGCCAGGCTATGCCACATCATAGGGTGGGTGCTGTCCCTCATTTCAAAGGTAGTCATCAAGTGCTACTGAAAAGCTTCCAGACCTTAACTTTCACATGACACAATTTGTTTCCCTTCTTAACTGAACACCCTAACTATTTAGCTATACCAATGTTTTTTACCTATTGTGTAAGGCAGGGCCCATGTATCAGATGATCACGAAGCAAGTATTTAGCACACCACTGTGCACCATGCCCCTACTCTACTGAACAGATTGCACTACATAATATCATGCCCTGATTGATTGGCTACATCTAGTTTTGTGTACAGTTAACTTTAATTCATGTAGTAAAAGGGCACAGATATACCCTATTGCCAAATGAACATAACTAGAGCCTTGTCCTTCTGTGATTATGCCTGGTGACAAACATTACAAGTTTTATTCTTCACTTGAGAAACTAATGGTCTCTATAAACCCATAAAGAATCTTTGGACATATATATCTAAAGTGTGAACTTGTGTCCCATCTTGGCTGACAAAACTGTTTATCACATTTTTAAACACAAGTCTAAACATCAATACAAATCTTGTTAACAATAACATAATCTCGTCAACAAGAACACAAGTCTATTATCAATATTAACACAAGTCTATTCAACATGACACAAATCAAATCAATTCAACATAATATCTGGATAATGTTTCTTTTCATTGTCAAGTATTGATCTTTCAACTTTTATCAACGATGTCCTCATACAAATTATCAAAAATGTAGTAGATGTATTTTGTTATTTCAAAAGTAAAAAATACATCTTCCCTTGCTTCATCATGGTCCTTTCTTTTTCATTTCAGATGAAGTTTTACATGACATGAATGAGGGTGTCAGAGACTCTTCAACTCTTAAGTAAGGTCCCAGGTTATTTCCAGCCAACCATCAGTAATCTTAATTTGACAAACTGCCATGTAACATGTACACACAAATGTTTCCTGGGATAAATCACCATTTGGCAATAATCATGATAATAAGTATAAACATTCATGTTAATGTCAGATAGGACAATCTGAGATACATGAAGATCAGTCACAGTTCTATAGAACACAGATTGTTGAAGTAGAGATGACCAGAGGATGTGTTAGATGATGCCAGTTTTTTGGAAGGTATCTTTTTGTACATACTGGATATAAGACAAATAAACTGCATGTTTGTTTATTGTGATGTGAGAGTAAGGTCAATATTGGGAGAAATAAAAGTACTGTATAGCTGCAGATCTTGTTTCAACTTTTTTTGTAAAACCGTGACAACTTACTTGAGTATACAGACACACTCTCAGTGACATGGTGAGAGAATCAAGGACGTCCTGCACATGGAAATAGTGTAATCTGTTATCTACCGTATTTGACGTATAAAGCATATTTGGCACAAAAAGTGCCATAAGAATATAGAAATAATAAACCTAAAGCTTGAAGCATTTACCTGAAAGTCTCATCTAAATAAGGTGGCTTGAGTATGTTTTTTGCATATTTTAGGCTTTTATGCATTCAATACAATATGCATCAAGAGACAATCAGGTAACAGAATACAAGCATATTCATCCAAGGAGATGCAAACATACAATCAAAATCCCGTTCAATGTGGTGAACAGGGTTATTTTAATGCCATTGTCTTGTTTTGATACGTTACTCATTACAAAATACAGTTTCATGTAAAATACATGTCAAACTAGCCATGACCCAACAGCGTGGGTCGCTGTCAACCACTGGTTCGCCTTTATTAACAGATACAATTATTCACAGCCTGCCTACATAGAGATGGAATGGGCAGTATTGTAACATTCACACTATATGATAGTAGTATAGCTTCATTTCCAATTGGTCAGGAAATATGGCGAAATTCCTCTTAACAGCATAAAAGCTTACTTTTCAGCTGGCTAAAACCTGTCAATATTTCAACACTAATCAGGTATTAAAGTGAAAGCCATCTATAGTTCTTGCCCACACATAACACAGAGACACTTCCATTCTGTTCAATCCTTTGCCCTCATTTTCTGTCCCTCATGTACTATCATTGTAATGTTACCTCCTGGAATGATCTCTTCACATACCACATCATCCAACCTCCATGGACCTAGGGTAGGATATTTTTAATCCCCATATATGCCCACCTGGTACATCCACCATTCTCCGTCTTTTGGTTTGGTATGATTCCCAACTCCACATACAAGGGCTGGTCGGCTTGGGGTCAGAAAACTGCGGCATGGTATCAGTGGGCTAACACTATATATCAGCATCGGTCCGGACCAGTACAAGCAGCCACACACGCACGTGCATGCACGTTGCGATCTAAGTGCAATTATCTTGGACGAAATGTTGAACCCCATTTCACCTCACCTCACTCATACAAAATTACTGACCTTATTTCTTCCATTACAGGAACTTACCAATGTCATAATCCCCCACCACCTCTCAATAACCATATCAAATTCAATAATTCTCACATTAAACTGTACTACCTCCACTTAGCCCTGATCCCCGACCCCCCATCACACCCCTCCCATTCCTACTACCCACCCATGTTATCTCTCCTGGGTCACCCCCAACATACCTCCTGCCCATCATGTCTGATACAGGAACTGAAACAGTCCACTTAACTCCTGGTGTTTATAGAGTGCTGGAGATAACCAGCAGTTAGCACCAGTCTAACTAGGCCAAGAAGTTCACACTGCAGGAAACACTTCATCACATGTACATTGTTCAATGTTATCTTGTAGGCTTTGTTTTCAGTGCTGTTGGCATATCCAGTGACCAGCAGCATCTGTCCAGGCACTTCCTGGCATTTCCACAGAGCATTTAGAGAATCTGACTCCTGCTTGTAGATAAGAGGGTTTTGGATGATTTGTGTCTCAAGCAGATCTGGTTACAGTAAGTGGCACGGAAGTGTGTAGCAGCATACCAGAGACCAGCAGGTCCTTTACACCGTCACACCACATTGGTCAGGTAGAGGTATAGTTAAGGAGGGGCTTTGTGACAAGTCCAGGTCGAGAGTGAAAATGGGAGCAAAGCAGATAACTCTCCCAAAACATACAAGATCATATATCTCTTTTTTTTATAAAAACCTGCCGTGAATGACCTTGACATTCAATATTCTGACCTCTGGTGACCTTGAGTAAGTTCAAATTTATTTTTTCTTTTCAAATAGGGACGCTTTCCTTCACATCACATACGTGTCAAACTAGGTCAAGGTGCTATCATGAAGTCTCAAGTTATGGTGATCACATGTATTTAGATGGTATCAATGACAACCCTGAGTGAAAGACCTTACCTGTTACCTTGCCAGTGGACACTTAGAACATCTACAAGGTATATTCAAAGGAATCTATAAATTGTCAGTACTGATGGAAAATACTTTGTATACTCTCAAAGAAAAATTCTATTTTCCAAATATAATTCATGCTTTACTAGGTGATATTAAAAGTACCTTAAATATCAGGTAAATCTATGTCAAGGCAGTCAATTTCGAAACTTTTCCTTGCCTGTTTCAGAATTAATGACTTTGACCATTAATACCTGTTTCTGTAGTTATATGAAAGAAAGGTTCCTCAGTGTCAATAAGCATGAAGCCTCTAAAACAAATTGTATTTGAAGAACATGACACACAAAATATAGTGTGGAGTTCAGATTGTGAAAAACAAAAAAAACATCCAGCAGCACCTGCTCCACAGTTGTACATGTTAACTAAAATATTGATATCAGGACCTGAGTTATCCAAACATGTAGAAGACATTAAATAACATTACATTGCTCAGGACAAGCGGGCATGTGAAATGGCCATACAGGAGCTGGTGGACAAGCCAGAACATGGCCCAGCCACCTCCTGAGAACCAACAGAGCACTAATTACTGTGCGGGTCACTGACTGGGAAATGACCGAGCTACCCTGTTCCGTGACTATCATTGTGTTTATGGTGTTAAATCTAATCAGTCTTTACCAGGATGTCAATAATTCATTAAGAATGTGGACTGATTAATTTTGCAGTGTCAGCGTTTTCATGAAGTTGTGGACTTGACAGATTCATTACACTTGACCATACTGTCTGATGCATGAAGAAGAGTTAAACTACGCATTAAACCCAGGTTTCAGAACAAAAATACCTTTGGTCAAGAGGATAAAGGCAAATGTAATGCATTCTGATGAGAGTGTAATATGGCTGCCATGTCAATACCCCAGATCTCACCCCCAGAGTAATGACCATTTGTCTTTATGACCGGACAGAACATGCACACATTAACTGTATCAGATATCTTGCATGGTTAAATGTGGCTATGTCTCCACAATAAGACTAGAGATAGCTGATCAGACTCATGGAACACTTTATTCCTCATCAGATTCCAAATTAATCTCTCAGTGGAGATTTACTGAATTAGAGTGAGTGAGTGAGTTGTGGTTAATGCCGCTTTTAACATTATTCCAGTTATATCACAGTGTCTCAGCTTAATGTTGGAGGAAAGCCCATGTGATGCAGGTTGTGCAGGTCTCAGACGTTTACCACTTCGGTGAAACCCAGTGCACGGGAATGGTGCTGACATACCAAGAAACATAATCGGGGTGAACCCGGATTGGATTCGAATCCACAAGGGACGCAACTCTGCACAGTGAATCACGGCGTCTTAGACGACTGGGCCACCCGTGCCCCTACCGATTTAAAAAGATATACAGCATCTCAAGTGCACTCAGTGCATGGAGCATACATAGACATTGACAATACATTATGTCTTGTTCCACAAAATAATCAGAGCAACAACTGCCCTAACTCTTAGACCTTCCACAGCAATAATGTTACGATAGTTTTGTGGGACAGGCTATGGTGGTCTGCTGAAATACTGAAATTACAGCCTGAAGGATTAATACCACTGACACAATTAATACACAGACATTAAAATCAGTGATATAAACTCTGTGATTTAGAATACCATTCTTTCAAAGTAATTATGTTATTTGACTTTTTGTCTCTCCAGTAGTATTATTGACTCAGGGTTTTCAATGGAGGCTTCTATTGTCTTGTTCTGCGACCTGACATCTCTCTAACGTCCATCATTAACATGATCCCCTGGTGTGCACGGTCAGGGCAGCTAATTGGTCACTGGTTAACGAGATATTTGAGACCCTCGGTCAGGCAACTCAGGCTGCACGGCACCCTGGGGATATCTGTTCTGTTTGTTTTACGGAATTGCACGAGTTGTGCCGAATGAACTGTAACATAACAGCATCAGTGGGCCCCGTTGACTGGGCTACTGTCTAAAGCTAAACACATAAAGCAGCTGCGCATTCTCACAGAGAACCAGAGAAATGGGACCCAGCTACAAACGAATTCGTTACCACGTAACCATACGCGTTTTTCGAGAAATACAACGCATACTCAAGGTAGAGACAATCCGTGTTCTCCATATATGGGAGAGCAGAGCATTCACACCAAAGATTTTGTTGTTGTCATTGCTGAATATTTAATATCATAATAGTCCCGACAATATGTTTATATGCAGTCGACAAATATGTTTTTTTTCTTGTATATGATGACCTATTATCGCTGCGGTGAAAACAAAAGTGCTTGTCGGGTTTTGAAATCTTCTATTCAGGAAATATTAGTTATGGTAATATGTCGACCAAACTGAAATATAATTAAACAAAAAGTCTGAAGTCTCGTAGGTAACAGAATTGTCACACATTTCTCCTACGTTTTCAAGTTCAAATGCTGATTAGAACACGAGGTATCTGAGACGTTTCAAGACGGGATGAAAATTGCACCATGTACTTAGAGACATTCTGTTAATTTCTGCAGGCGTTTTTCAGTTGCTATGTCTCTCACGTATTACTCGGTAAACCTTCATTGACCTGTAAAGACAGAGAAACGTGCGTGTTTAAACGATGAACCAACATCATTGAAAGGTATTCAAGAGTTTTCAAAATTGTTACTTTGACGTGGCTGGAAGGATCGATTCTGTCTTTTGTGTTTACCAAGTGGCTTTGGGTATATACTCACTGTATGACACTGGTTTCTCACATTGACGACATTCGCCCGACATTCATTCAGATGAACAAATGGGCATCTTTTTCAGAGAATTGTCACCTTTGCTACGTAATTTCTTTGTGAGAAGTTTCCCCACGTCTGTGTTGAAAAATTGAAAAGCATCGCCGGCTTAGAAAAACGAATCAAGATTTTGAATAATTTGGATTGAACTGTTAGCTATTGTAATTACTTTTGACAAGTATTT